TGATCCACCCGCCTCGGCCTCCCAAAGTGCTGGGATTACAGGCTTGAGCCACCGCACCCGGCCTGATAGAGTAATTTTTTTATTTATTATTATTATTATTATTTTTTGCCTTTTGAGTAAGCTACATCAAAAGTAGAGAGAGAAAGGCAGATTCCATTGACCTCATGCTGTCTTTATGAGATCTTACTGTTTGGGAAAGTGAGACTCTTCCTCTATCAAAGAGTAATGAATTTTGCTGTTTTGAAATATCTGAATTATTGCTTTGGCTAAAAGAATGACTTATTTTACAATAACTTATTTAGTAATATAGAGTGTTTTAAGCCTTTGATATTTGACGAACTTTCCAAAATCCAAATCCAAATTTGGTCTATTTGACCTCTTTAACGTTTTAGATATTAGGTCCCCTGAGGTCTAGGAAAGACTTAGTTGGCTTATTTGGTACGTTAAAATCATACAGGAAACATTGTCAGATGTTGTATTGTGGGCATGTCTTGCCAGAAAACGATTCCAGAATACCCCGAGAATGACCACGTGTTCCTTCACGAATGTTTGTTCAGTGCTGTGAGATGTGGAGCCAGGGAGGGCTACTCAGGGCGTTCATTTGGGGTGTTCTACAAAGAGCACCTCAAATGCTGTGCAGAGAGTGCACAGTTGAGATAAAGATAAGGGAGCAAAGGGAAAGGAGGCAGCAAAAAGGCCTTTACAGTGACTCCCCCGACAAAGGTGGTGACAAGAAAAGCAGTTGAAAAGGCAGGGGAACTGCCCAATGCTGCCATGTTTGCATGGTGCCCGAAACTTAAGCCAGAGCAGCACTTTACTAAAGAACCATGGGAATAGCTCGCTGCCTTCCCACAGGCACCAACCCTTTAGATCAGGATAAGGACCAGGACTGCAGAATCCTAATAAGAATAATGGCGGCCAAGGTGTCTGGGGACTGGAGGACACATGTAGAACCCACTATGTATTGAAACAGACTGTTCTTGTCCTAGTGGACATGGGAGCCGAGTGCTCCATTACCTGTATGTTAAGATCCATTTGTTGCAAGGGCTTATGACAGTCATAAGTGGTTACGGAGAAGCAGCTGTGATGGCGAGGCAGGTGGAGTTTATATTACTAGTTGAGAGATTGCCACAAAAACCCTGTTTGGTATACATAATTCTCATTCCAAAATACATTCTGGGAATGGCTATTTTATCATGTTTGACACTCCAAATGACTTCTAAGGAATTCCAGCTGAGAGTTAGGGTAGTGAAATGCGTGCTCCACCCCACGAAAGCAATTACAAACGTTCATAAGCCCCTGAACGACTGGACCCCCAAATAGCCCACTCCATGAACCCCTATAGAGCCTGGTCAAGAAGGGGGCCCAGTGGACTGGTCCACAAAAGAGAATGGGACCTCTGAGCAAGCTGAGGCTGCAGCGAAGCCAACACAAGCCCCAGGAGAATCAGCGCAGGAACAGCCTTGTGAATCGGACACAGCCATTTGCCGCTGAGGGACTTGGGTGGGGCCTGTGGCAAAGATGGGGACAGAAACATGTCCCTTTACCATTCTGGTCCCAACCATGGAAGCAGCCAGAGCTGGATGTAACAACTCAGGCTGATATATCACGCCCTCCAGCAAGTGCAGATCATTTCCGAGGGGTCCCCAGTGCCAGTACACACCAGTGCCAAATAACAGGATGGTGGAGAAACACTTTCCAGAAACCAAAATCCAGGAATGTGCAAACACAAACTGTTGCTAAGTGACAAGAATACTTCAACTAAGGAGCACACTGACCAGCAGGCTCGTGAGTACACAGCTTCACTCGGTGCTCAACTCTTGTTACCTATGTGACGACCAAGGGAGTCTTTGACATGGGTGGCAGAACCTCCACAAATCCCCTCCTTCATACAGAAGGGGCAGGGCCCTGTTTCTCAGCAGGCTTGGGACACAGATGGCTTGTCGTGAGACAATTCTGCTATCTGGTTCTGTGGGCCTGCTGCTCACCAGCAGCTGTAGGCACCCTGAATGAGCTTGTGCACGTTCTCAGCGCCCCAGCATACACTCTTCTGACACAAGGGCCTGACGCCACCATCAGGAACCAGGTAGACAGTGTTGGGGACAGTACTCCGTTGCCTCCCACCTGGGACTCCAGGTAAGCTGCTGCTGCCCTTGCCACAGGACTTATGCGCCAGGCAGCCAATGACTAAGTACCTTGGAAATAACAAACCAGTTCCCACTGGTTCAGCTTTTCTACCCCAGGAGGAAAGGGCCTAGAAGAGGATTTACAAGTCATTCCCTATTACATCCTACTGTCCCTTGCACGTCTGAAACAGTGGACCTGGTTCCTCCACTATGCAATAGCACAACCACCCGTCTTAATGGAACATTGCAACGCCTCCATTGTCCTACTATGGTCTCCAGCAACGCATCGCAGGGGGGCACTAATCCATTTGTTATTGTAAGCCAGGCACCTGACCGCTGCCTGGGTGGGGCTCTGTCAAAAGGACACCCCTTCCTATGTCTTGTTGAATAGCCATGACTCCCCTTCTAGTGCCTGCTAAACATCTCACCTGTTGACCATAGCTGGTACACAGCAAATCTCTTTGCAGACTGGATGCAGACTGTGGCCCAGAACAAAACGGACTGCTGGGTGTGTGGGGAGCAGCAGCTGCCCTTCTCCTCCTCGGCAGGCCCGCCACGGTGCACCCCAGTGGATAAGGTGGGGACTTGGAGACACTTCTATGGTGGGTACAAGGTTTCCCACCCGCCTCCCTTGTGTCATCACAGCACATCCCACAGTGAGTTCTCTGCTCACAAGAAAACCCAGAAACAATTTCCTTGCTTTTTTTTTTTTTTTTTTTTTTGAGATGAAGTCTTGTTCTGTCATTCAGGCTGGAGTGTAGTGGCAGGGTCTTGGCTCAGTGCAACCTCCATTTCCTGGGTTCAAGCAATTCTCCTGTCTCAGCCTCCTGAGTGGCTGAGATTACAGGCATGCACAACCATGCCTGGCTAATTTTTGTACTTTTAGTAGGGACAAGGTTTCACCATGTTGGCCATGTTGAAATCGAATTCCTGATCTCAGGTCATCCACCTATCTTGGCCTTCCAAAGTGCTGGGATTAGAGGCATGAGCCACCATGCTCCCAGAAACGGTTTTCTGTTCAGGTTGTAAACAGGTCAATGTCACATCAGGTACGCTGTACATGATGGACTGGGCATCTGCTGACTGCAGTACAAATACAGGTAGTCGGTTGTGTAACTGTGTTACAATGGCAGCACGCCATTTCTGAGGCCCTTCTTCTGCCTGCGGCAAAGCAGAAAAGTCTGACAGCAATCTGGTGGCCTGACTTCTTAGCTGTGGAAGTGTGGCTGAGCAGTGGTCTTAGTTCCTCCACCCAGGGCTCCTCGGGAGTGGAACGCGGGGCAGTGGTCCCTCCTGGGAGGATGCTGGGGGCTTTCTGAAAGGAGGCAATGCCTGATTTTGTCATTGAAGGATGAGCATGATTTTTCCAAGCAGTGGAAGCAGGTCCTCCTGGTAGAAGACCCTCATAAGCAAATGTCTAGAAGCCACAAGTCATGGCATTCGACAAAAGCAGGCCTGGTGCAGTGGCTCATGCCAAGGTGCGAGGATCACTTGAGGCCAGGAGTTCAAGAGTAGCCCGGTTAATATAGTGAGACCCCATCTCTAATATATATATATATTTTTTTAATTAGCTGGGTGGCTGCTCACACCTGTAGAACCAGGTACTCAGGAGGCTGAGGGGGGAGGATGGCTTGAGCCTAGGGCTTTGAAGCTGCAGTGGGCTATGACTGTGGCACTGCACTTCAGCCTTGGCGACAATGAGACCTGTCTCAAAAACAGACAAAATAACCCCAACGGCATTGCAATAAATATGTCATAAGTATCCACTCGGCATGTGGGAGAGACTGTGCTAATGCTGATGGCATGTGTGGGAGTAGGGCAGGCATCTGGGGAGTGTGGGGACACGGGAGGATGGGGAGTAATCTGGAGGGTCCCACAGTCCGTCAGTGGCAGGTCTTTCTTCTGAAGACCACAGCAGACCCCCAACCCTGAGGATGCGAGGCAGGTGGTTGGGTGAGTCAGATCTGGATGTCTGGTCTGGAGCTGCTCCTCTAAGTGTGGCAGCAAGGAGGGCGGGTCTGCACTGACAGTGGTGGAGGAGGGCAGCGTGTGTGCTCTGCTTGATCACGAGGTGCTGGGAAGTTGTGACTTTCACTTTCAAACTTCTGGGTATATATGGGAGGCTGGAGGACCTGTCTGGTTATTAGACAAAGGCACAGCTAGAGTTGGGATCCACATAGCTCAGAATATCTGGATCTTGCTCAGTCTCTGTCAGGGGAAGATTCCTTGGTAAGGTGGGGATGGTTGACCTGCCCCTACTCGTTATTCTCACAACAGCTCTGAAAGAGAAGGATCATTCAGCTTTTGTAGGTGAGCTCAGAGAGGTTAGGTGACTGGTTCGGATCAAACAAAAGCAGTGGCAGAGCCTGGATTTGCACCCAGGCTTGAGTCCGACTGCTCCCTTCCTCCTACTGTGCCCTTAAACTGTAGCGAGAGATGAGGAAGCAGCTCAAACGGATTCACAAAGCTCCCCAGGCTCAGCTCTGGTTTTGACTGCTGAGACAAGGAAGGGTAGCCCCAGAAAAAAGGTTTGCGTTGGGGGTGTCCCCATCTCTTTGGGAAATTTGAAGGAACCACAAAAGGTGCAGGAGAGGAGATGACCCAGAGCTTGGACTGTCCTTGTGGCCTGGCAGCATCCAGGGTGGCTCCAAGATGCTGCTGCTCAGGCCCAATGAGGGCAAAAGTTTTTTTTTTTTTTTGAGATGGAGTCTTGCTTTGCCACACAGGCTGGAGTGCAGTGGCGCCATCTCAGCGCACTGCAAATTCCACCTCCCAGGTTCAAGCAATTCTCTGCCTCAGCCTACTGAGTATCTTGGATTACAGGTGCCCAACACCATGCCCAGATATGTTTTGTAGTTTTAGTAGGTACGAGGTTTCATCATCTTGGCCAGGCTGTTATTCAGATCAAACAAAAGCGGTAGCAGAGCCTGGATTTGCACCCAGGCTTCAGTTATTTTGACTTATTTTGAGATACAAGGAACCCAGAGGTCCTCTCACCCACCCTGAGTCTGAGCATCCACTTGTGCCAGGCTCTGTGGGGAAACTGAGGCCCTGTGAGGGGAGTGACTTGCCTAGGGTCCCATGTCAGGAGGTTGAGCAGCTAGATCATACGTCCACGTCTCTGGCCGTCACCTCTGTCCCTCTGTTCAGACCTCTGGGGTGATGGAGAATAAACAGGATGTGCCCTGTCTCTAATGGGACACATGGCTCAGACAGCGGAGTGAGAGGGTGCATTGCAGAACGGCGCCTGTGGCGTGATGCCAGCTTTGCACTCATGAGATTCAAAAGCCACGCTGTGGAACTCTGAGTATAACATGGGAGTGTGAGCTTAGATCTCTGTTTGTACAAGCAGAATCAAACCTGGAAACTTTTGGATTATTGAAATCACAGTTTTTTGCTTCAATATCAGAGTCACAAGGCCAGATGCTGGCCTCCCCTCTGCCTTCCAAGAGCTGTGTGACTCTGGGCAAGTCGCCTCCCTCCCAGCCTAAGCATTTTCCCCTCTAAAAAACCTGATAGGGCTGCCAAAAGTACATGAAATCAGGGGGTAATTTCTGTGAAATCTGAGTCATGGTTTTATTTGTTCTTCACCAACAAGAGATGCCCATCAAGGTGGCAAGCACCTTGCCTGGCTTGTAATCCTAGTGCTGCGGGAGGCGGGGGCGGGAGGATCACGTGAAGCCGGGTGTTCAAGACAGCCTGGGCAACACAGGAGATGATGGCTCTGTGAAATTAAAAATGAACAAATTAGCCCAGCGTGGTGACGTCTAGTCCCAGCTACTCAGAAGGTGGAAGGAGGAGGATCACTTGAGCCCAGGAGCTCTAGGCTGCAATGAGCTATGATGGCACAAGCGCACTCGAGCCTGGGTGGCAGGGCAAAACCGTTGCTCCAAAATGAAATGAAAATGGTGATCTCTGAGGAGGAGCACACCGTCTCAACCCCTTTTCCCACCCAAGGAAAAGGCCCTGCAGTGACATGGATGGAGCTGCTTTGCTGAGAATCTTTGTCCTCTGCATCTGGTGAGCTTGGCTGAGAGCGCTGAGGCGGGAGGGAGGGCTCCCTGTCTGGGCTGCACAGTTGGGCAGGGCGTGGGCTGGACCAGGCACCATCTGGGCTTCTTCCAGAATACAAAGTCCCTTCCCGGAATTGACCAACTGGCAGACTTGCCCAGGACTAGGACACCCTCTGTGTCCTAGTCAAGACTATCAGGCAGATCCAGCCTCAATATTCAGCAGGGGCCCCAGATCAGAGTCAGAGCCAGGCCAACAATGACCAGGGAGGATGGGCTCCCAGGTGCAGCTCCTCACAAGTGTGGGGCGTGTCCGAGGCCCCAGCTGTCTCTGCCCTCCTGCTCCTCTGCCCTCTCCTGGCCCTCCTGGCTCATGGTGTTGAGACGGCTGCCCTGGCCTAGAGGGTCACACAGAGAACAAACAGGAGGAAGGGGAAGAAGAGCCCCTCTCCTATCACCCCTGTCCCCTGGTGACCTGCTGCCCAGGACTGGCTCCCCCTTTTACCCTTGCTGCATGGGGGCCCCAGAAGACACACATCTGGGGGCCTGAACCCTGAGACAAAGGCAGGAAGGGGAAAGAGGGAGGTGAGTGTCTTTTGAGGAGGCAGCTTTTGTGTGAGTGCTGGAGGATAGAGCCCCATCAGAGCCCCAGGAACCACGGTGCTGTTAAAGTCTGTAACAAAGACCAGCTGCTGGAAGTGGCTGTGCCAGGGAGTGAGCAGAGACACACGGTGAGGAAAGAAAAATGGTAATGCTTGCAGCCGCCCTGACTGTGATGGGCTGAAGCGGTGTCAGGGTTATTACTTACAGTGTCATTACTAGTCACTTTCATCCTGTGTGTACACTGCCTCTACCTCTCCTCTCCACCTTTTTGTGACATTGTCTCACCAGTTTGATGTCTTCCATGAGCAACTTTGTAGCTGTAAGCAATTGACTTACAACTTTCCTATACTCTCAGTTGTACCCAGTGTTTCTTAACTTCCCTCTTTTAAAAATGACAATGTTAATCCTCCTCCTCCTTCGTTCAGTGCTTCACATCCCAACTGCTACCTTTGTGCTTTAAATTTTGTCCTAATTTGTATTGGTAACAAGTACATTTAGTTCTCATGTTTGTATGTTGTGTATATATTTTTGGTCCTGAAGAAGAGACTGCCGAGAGCTAGTAAGACTGAATGAATGGGCATCTCCACAGACTGCCAGGCTGTGTGAACTGGCACAGTTTGCATGCAGTGTGGCTCTGGGTATAAAAGCTTCTGAGATGTTGATGCCTCTGACCTAGTCACTCTCCTCCTACAAATGTCTTAAGGAAATCATCTCAGATGTGGGCAAAGTTTTTCTGGAAAGCGGATGTTCTTTGTAGCCAAATTTATATGAAGAATTAGAAACACTGTGAGGTCCATCAGCTAGGGGWGGACAGCAGAGGGAACAGGGCAGCACCAGGAGGGCGCAGCAGCCACAGCAGGGGYGCCRGCATCTGGCAGGATCCAGGCCTTTGTGGGACGAAGGATCTTAGAGAAGCAACAGGGGCCCCGGCTGTCCACTGCAGCACCGTSARTTCACCAAGACAAAGGCTTGGGCACAGCTGCGAGACATGGATTTGCAGTGAGGCGTCATGTACAATGAGCACGAATACATGACTTAGTGTGGAGTATTTAAGGGAGCAGAGCAGAGTCACTGAAGACGTGGGATTGAGGCAGGGGTCCTGGCTCTAGCACTGTTGTGAAAACACCGGCAAGTTCCCTAACTTTTGTGGATTCCTCTGTGTTCAGGTGGGAAAGGGGCCCCCACCTCCTGGCCTGTGTGTGGTCATCTAGTGAGACACGTGGAAGAAGCCCTGCACAGCACAGACACTCAGCACACACTGGCTGTCATCCATCAGTCATCACACACGTGCCCAGGCCCAGGTCACTGTCACAATGTTCCTTTCCGTCTCTCTTTCTGTGTACAGCCTCTGTAGTTTCTGTCATTGTCAGAGAGCTGCCTGTCCTCTGATTATCTTCTCCTCATACCCCAGCGGGACAAGCTGCCTTTGCCTTGGTGTGGGAGTGAGGGCAGAGGGAGCTGGAGCGAGGTGAGTGTCTGTAAATAGCAAGTGATGGGGGCAGGTGACGGAGAAACCATCTGGGCTAGGTTGGCCTTGGCATTTGCTGCCACCCCAGAGGGATCTGCAGAGCCCGGCTGCTGGAGCCCCCCTCTGCCCACAGGTGGCTCACATTCCATCTCACAATTATTTTCTCCTCCTCAAGGGTGCAGCAGAACCATCCAGGTTGGACAGCGGCTGAAGAGCTCCAAGGTAAGCCTCTCAGTGACCTTGTCGCTAGAATCATAGACTCAGGTAGGCTCACCTCCTCTTCCCTGGCTGGTTCCTACTCACACCTAGAATGAAAGGTGGTGCCTCCAGAGCCAAGTGAGCCCCAGAGGAACCCAGATGAAGAAGGAGGCCGATGAGTCTGCCCCAAGCCCCAAGAGAGGCCAGCTGAAATAGATGGGTTCCTCCCCAAAGCACCATGGCATTTCCCTGGTAAATTACTCTTCTCAGGCTGCCCTAGTAAAATGCCACAGGCTGGATGGCTTCAACAACTGACTTATTTTCTCAACGTTCTGGAGGCAAGAAGTCCAAGGTGAAGGTGTTAGCAGGCTTGGTGTCTGGAAAGGGCTCTGTTCCTGGCTTGCAGAAGCTGCCTCAGTGCTGTGTCCTCACACGGTCTTCCCCGTGTGTGTGTGTGTGTGTGTGTGTGTGTGTGTGTGTGTGAGAGAGAGAGAGAGAGAGAAAGAGAAAGAGAGAGAGAAAAAAAGAGAGAGAAAGGGAAGGAATGAGGGAGAGACGGCTAGAGGGCAAGACAGAGAGAGCAGAAAAAGAGAGAATAGAGAGAAGATCTGTCTCTTTTTTCTTTTAATTGGACACCAGCCCTACAGTATCAGGGTCCGACCCTTATGACCTCCTTTAAGTTAATGACTTCCCAAAGGCTCAATGTCCAAAAATAATCACTCAGTAGAAGAATTGGGGGGGGGATATATTTCAGCCTATAGCACTGATGCCTCCATCAAAAATACTCCATGTGACAGCTGGTCAGGAGGGCTAACACTAAACCACCTTGTACTCAATGCCATTTATGCTGTAGCAAACTTTCTTCCAATCTTATCCTTTTTGCTTCCAACTAGAAATTAGGTACATCACCGAATTCTTCCAGAAGGTAGTTAATCCAGTGTATCTGGAAATCCTGCGGACTGACAGTGAAGCCTGGCAGAGATTTGTGGCTGTGGCTGGACTGCCCAGGTAACTTTCAGGGGATTACCTCTATGGGGTGCCCCGGCGATGACACTCAGATCTCCCCTGGGCTAGTTTTCTGTTTCAGGCACACTTCCTCCAGGCAGCCCCCTCTGCTGAGCCTGAGGTTATCCCTCTCAGTAGTCCAGGAGGAATATTTTCTCCAAGTCCTTCACTGGCAGTGAGTGGCCTCAGGCTGAAGGGAGAGGAAGCCCGTAAGGGCAGGGTCATTTCTGCCATCTACTGGTGATGGGAGCTTTGCAAGTTACGTGACTACTTTCTGCCTTCATTCATTGAGCTTTATTATGAGAAAAATAAGGTAAAGTACTTAGCATGTGAAGTGCTTAGCATGATGACTGACACACAGTAGGTGCTCAGGAGACTCACAAGTCCCCAGCCAAAGAGAAAAACACTTTCTCTATCATCTGGTCCAAATTTGGGTCTTTTCAGCATTAGTGATTGACAGAGATGATTTTCAAAGTCTCATGGGTCCTCAAGAGGGTCCATGAAATTGCACATGGCCTTGGCATGCGCACAGGTGAAGCTGTCACTTGCCACGGCATTAGTTTGGCTGGTGACATGTGAGAGGGAGTCCCTGGAATGTGGAGGTGCCAGGTCAGGAGGCAGTGAGGTGGCTTGCGAGTTCGTGTAGAGCCGGGATTCATAGCCAGGTCTTTTACTTTTCAGTCAAAAAGGACATTGACTGGACCCTGTGGCCTTCAGTCGAAAGGTTAAAGGGCATGAGGCACTGGAAGAGAGAGCATACCAGGCAACGTGATGCCTCCTAGTCTGAGGTTTTGTTTGAATTCTTAAGTACTCAGATTTAGCCAAAATGTAACATCTGAGTACACCCTTACTTCTGACACCCGTTGCAAACTTGAGGGGCTTTCTTAAGTCCCCCTCAGGCTGGATAATTCACTACAAGGACTCAGGAAACTCACTGAAAACTGTTATTGCACGGTTGCGGTTTATCACAGGGAAAGAACACAGATTAAAATCAGTCTAAACAAGAGACGCACAGGGCGGAGTCTGAAGCTTCCACTGTCCCCAGGATGCTGTGTTCTGCCGAGTCAGCGTGGGTCAAAACGCGGGGTGCTGCTGACCAGGGAAGCTGACCCAGTTAAGGAAAAGTTGCTGTGAATCACATTAAATCAGGAAAGAAGCCTTTATCAGGATTGTTTTTACAGAAGAGGGAGGCTGAGCGCAGCTTTGAATACAGTAAAGACAGAGGGGGAGCCCCAGCCAACACCAGGGTGAGGGGCGGGAGACGAAACCCGACTGACAGGAGACAGCAGAGTGGGGTTTGTCCTAAACTGGCCTGAGAGGATTCTCCCTAAAGGCAGGTCAGACACTCACCCATCAAAGGTGGGGGTGAGGAGCGTGATGAGATGGCAGAGGGTGATCAGACAGCATCGGGGGAGGACCCTCCCTAAACTGACTTGGGGGAATCTGGCTGAGCTGGGGCGGTGCAGGCCCAGGGAGCACAGCATGGGCGTGGAAGGCCAAGGTCAGCGCTTAGAGGAGAAGAGGCTCAGAACAGCCCACCTAGAGTTTGGACAAAGAGAAGGTCTTTCTCAACTCATGCCTCAGTGCAGAGCTCTTCCTGGGTCTGGAGCACAAACCGGCCTCGTGGCTGGCGTGGAGTCTCCAGCCCGTCTCCGCGGCCTCACTCCCTTAGTCTCCACTTCTGAGGGTCAGGAGAGAAACCCAGTATCCCCAAACTCCCATCATCCATCACAGTGCTATACTGTCCTGAAGCCAAACCACAAGGGATTAAAGATGTTCCTACTAGGCAGGACATTCCAGGGCCCCAGAGACCACTTCCCAGGGGCACAGGACAAAGGCAAGTTAATTAACTTCATCAGAAGTTAATTTCTCCCTGTTCCGTGATACTCTGAATGAAGGTCTTTTTGCTCCCATCCCATTCTCTTTGTTTTTCTACAACGTTTCCCCTCTCCACGCACTCTGGTAGTGACGGCGGTGACCTCCCTCGCGTGGGGAGCCGTCTTTATCCAATACCTACCACTAAGGTGCATGTGAAGACGACTTTAACTTATTTCTTCCCATACTGAGTAAGTACTGTGGCATATCTATGATGTACAAAACATGTTTAGCCTTGAAAAAATTATTTACATTTTAAAACTTTATTTCCATTTGACTTCTAGTAACAGTTCTGTGATTTATGTGGAATGGATCGTATTAAGCTCATTTTACAGATAAGCTGCCTTTCTTAATCATCTGTCCTTTATTGGTACAGAGACGAGGCAAATGCCCTCTATGAAACTCTGAAGAAGCGTACAACAGATGTGGTTATTGACGACAAAGGCAAGTGGCAAAATGACCGGCCGTTAAGAGAGTGGTTTTTGAAAAAGTGTCCTCAACTCCGAAGGAATATTCAGGAGTCCATAAGGGAGATTTATGCCCTTGCAGATGGGACTGAAAAGGTCCACAGAGACTCCACCATCTCCAACGTGGTGTCCTACGCGGCTGGCACTGCCTCTGGCATCATGTCTATTCTCGGCTTTGTTTTGGCACCCTTTACAGGAGGGGTGAGTCTGGCCCTCACTACAGCTGGGGCAGGGCTGGGAACACTGTCTGTTGTGGCTGGGTTCATCACTAGCGCCGTGGAGGACTCACACACATCATCAGCACATGCCGAAGCCAACAGGCTGTCTGTGACCAGCACTGACAAACTGAAAGAATTTGTTGAAGTTATGCGTGAAATGCCACCTGACTCGCGTTCCCGCATTATTGATTTTTACAAAGCCACAGAGTCCTTGGGGAGGAGGTCCGTGCCATGAGGGGAGCCAGAGCCAGTGTCCTACACCTTCGGCAAACCTCAGCTGGAAATGATGCTGGGTTCGTCTTAACAAGTGAACGCACCAACTGGCTGGCGGGCAGAGGGGGCCGGATGACAAATGCAGCCTCTATAGGCATCCCACTTGTGCTAATTGTGGTCAACCTTGTGTACGAGTCAAAGCACTTGCTTGAGGGGGCAAATTCGTGGTCAGCGGAGGACCTGAGGCAGCAGGCTCGGATGCTAGAGGTGAATCTGCGCTCTCAGTCCTGTTGATCTCCAAACCTATAACGTAGTGGGGAACTCCAGAGCAGTGCAGCCACAAGGGGAGACGAGCTGAACACAGGCCAGGACAAAATGCAGACATTTTATCAGATGGATAAAGGGGGCGAGGTAAAGTTGCTGGAACGGAGTGTTAGGGAGTTTGGCATTTCTGTAGCTGAGCACAGCAGGGGAGGGGTTAATGCAGACGGCAAGTGTGCCCGGGAGAAGGCAGGAACACCGGAGCCTGGAATAAGGGAAGAGAGTGGACGGGATAGTGTGGGGAATGGGAAGAAACACTTTGCTTTAGGCTAAAGAATATACTGGGGGAGGAATAGAGGGGAGGTGTCCAGGAGCAACCAAGGAGGAGGCCAGGAAGAGAAAGCGCTGAAGATGCAGCAAGCCAAAATGCAGACCCCCCCATTTGTCTGATGTTTTTCTAAGAATGAAGTCTTTCCCTGGCGATGGGCTCCCACCTGTCTCTCCAGCATCCACTCCCCCTTGTCCTTCCGGGGGTGTCTCAGTTAGACATTGGCTTCTTGATGGTGGTGGTTGCAGTGTGATGGGTCCCCTTTTAGGTTATTTAAGGGTGTATGTCCCCTGCTCGAACCCTGAAAGCCAGGCAATGAGCCATGGCCCTGGTCCCCAGCTGAGGACCAGGTGCCTCTGAGAATCCAAACATCCTGGAGAACATGAGAACCAACCAAGAAAAAGTGGCTCATACACGGTAGGCAAAGAGCCAGAAAGTTATCTGAAAAGCAGTTTGCAGACTGAAGGCGGAATGGATCTCTAGAGCTGTCCTGCTGAGACCCCTGTGTGGACGTCCTAATAAACTCAACTACTGGCCAAGCTGGACTTGTTCGAGTCGTTCCTCGGTCTCACAGCTCCTTTCCCACTTTGGGGGCAAGTTACCGTCTCAAGTTTTTGTCCTAACAGTGGTAAAGCTGATGGTGGTGATGTCAGCCGGCAGTGGGAGGATTTGACATGTGGTTGATTCTGCTTGAGAACAGGGTACGCTGAGGGGCCAATGACATTCCAGTGAAACTGCAAATGCTGTATTCGAAAAGTAGTTGATTTGTGAAGGAAAATAAAAGCAAAACCAGATGCCAGCAGCAAGTCAAATAACTTTGTGGTGCATTGAAAAGATAAACCAGCCTGCAGTCAAGAGATCCTGCCTCTCTGAGCCTCCGTTTTCTCATCAGCTGGGAAAGGGGGCAGGTCCACCTGGCTCTCCCCTCTTGTGTTCTGGAGATTTGGGTTTAAGCAACACCAACTGATGCCTGCACCTTTGTGGTGCTTGATGGAGGCTCCCCTGGGCTCTGGGTGCCTGACTTATTTCCTCATGATCCTTTTTCCAGGGTCTCAGGAGCTGGGTCTCCATGGCCCCTTCTGCTTGCTCTCCTGGCCGGTCCTTCTTCTGAGACCCCAGTGCCCAGTGTCCTCTGAGGCACTCAGGAAAAGCTCGTAGACATCTGGCTTGGGCTGAGCACATGCGTGGTCCCCATCCAGCAGCCAGGGCCTGAGACTGACATGGGTCACATGCAGCTACTAAAATCAGAGGAGCCTGTGTGTAGGTTAAGAGAAAGTCCATGACACATAAAGGGACAGAGACAGCCAGACAGCAAACACCCTCATTCAGTCTGCAAACACCCTTATCCAATGTGCCCTCTCATTTTGCCCAGACTCCTGCAAGAGCTTCCAGAATGGTCTTCCCTGTTGCACAGCTTTGGCCGCTATCCCAGCCCATCCTCCACCCTGGGCCAGGCTGGCCCCTAAGAACATAGATTTCATCAACACCTGCTTCCAGTTCTTCAGCGGCTTCCCATTACTTTTAGCACAAAAGCCCAGGGCCTTCATGCTGCCTAACCGTGGCCTGGGGTCCCCTCAAGGAGAGCCGTAGGCAAGGCTCACATGCAGAGCATATGTTTGGGAAGTGATTCTAGCAGCAGGACTTGGGGTCTGGGAGGAGTGACACAGAGAAGAATGAAAGCCGGCTGCCTGGAGAAGCGTTTAATAGGGTGACTGGAGACCTCCTGAGCAGGCTTCAAGGAGCGTCCTCAGAATTTTCCCCTGGGAGGGGGAGGGGAGAGGGGGCCTCTAACCACTGCTCCTGTTCTTGATGGGCTTGCTCCAGCAGGCATTAATTATCTGATTTCCATGTATAGAACCTGTGGACGCCTTGGCTGGAGCCCAGAGCAGGGGCGAGAGATCCAAAATGCACAAAATCACGGCAGAACCTGTCCTAAGTGACTCGTAAAGTGCCCCCAGGGCCTACTGAGTTTTTTGTGTGTAGCAGGGAGCAGACGACTTGCCTCAGTCCCTGTAACTCCCCGTCAGCCGAGGCTCTCCTGACATTCAGTTGATTCACCCATTTCTTCCTGAAGAAGTCAACAGAGCCACAGCCACTGACTTGCCTAACTCGGGACCAATGTGTGTCATTTGTCAACTATTCATCAGTTCTTGGATAATTCACATTTTTTCATCCATGTCACTGAAGATTTCCAGCACTGAGCAATTTACTTCTTCAGTGATCTATCAACCATTTGCCCCTGACATTACAGTAAAAATGCCACCGTGTTTTCTGCATTTGATGCAATTCCACTCTACTGCGAGTATCTTGCAAGCGACAAAAACAGAGTCTAGCTGTCTTAAGCAAAGTTGGAGATTCATCGGATGTGACCTAGGGCAGGTCAGAGGATGGAAGGAAAAACAAAATGTTTTTCCCTAACACCCAGGGCTATAGACAAGGCTTAGGCTGACTAATTGGCTGCTTCCACATGGGATCCTGAATCTGGAGCAGGTGAGGCAAACTCCAGGGTTCACTGAGAATTAGAACCCATTCTCAGTGAGAGCAGCAGGAATGCCCTGGAGGGGAATAGAGATGGTCGCCACACAGTCCTGCAGCAGCAGAGATGACGTCCGCAGGTGGTGGGGCAGCCTGTGGCCGCGTCACTCCTGACAAAGTGGGGCTCGTGCGCTAGCCGCCTTGGACACCATGTTGCTGTCTTAGTGTCTATTAATTTTCTAAGCCAATCTCCAGACTCCTGGGCAGGTGGGGTCCTTCTGATATCATTCCAGTGAATTTCGTGTTGTTTCCTGCCCTAAAAATCCAGAGTTGGTACCTCTGCTTGACCAAGAAACCTGGTTGATACAGACCAAGAGCGGCAGGCTGCGTTTATTTGCTTCACTAACAGCTACACCTCAGGAATTGCAGCTTCCTCTGATGAGCTTCCTACTTTGTTCTGCTGTTGGAAAACAGTCGTTTCTCTGTTGAGAACTGGTCATGCTGGAGAGGTGAATAGGTGAGTCACAGGAATCACCGCTTCTGATCCCTTTAAACCCTGATTCAAGCTATTCTCCTGCCTCAGCCTCCCAAGTAACTGGGATTACAGGGGTGTGCCACCATGCCCGGCTAATTTTTATGTTTTTTTGTAGAGATAGGGTTTCACCATGTTGGCCAGGCTAGTCTCGAACTCCTGACCTCAGGTGATCCACCCACCTCAGCCTCCCTAAGTGCTGGGATTACAGGCGTAAACCACCGCGCCCGGCCATAGGAAAAGAATTTCTTTTGAGATACAAGAAGCCCAGAAATTGTTTCATCCACCTTGCCTCTGAGCACCTCCTGTTTCCTGCAGGGAAACTGAGGCTCTGGAAGAGGAGTGACTTGCCCAGGGTCCTGTGATGGGAGACTGAGCAGGTGAATCGCAGGACTCCGCCTCTCTGACCCTCTGTTCAGGCCTGTGGGGTGATAGGAGAAAGAAAGACACGCTGTGTGTCCTGAATGGGAAAGATGGCCATTCAGGGGCTTGCGTGGGGGCTGGGTTGGTGGGAAGGGTACACTGCAGAATGGTATCTGCAGCATGATCCCAGCTTTGCAATGAGAAGATTGAAAGCCAAACTGTAGGGCACATGTTCTCAGGATCTCCTGGAGCCACGTCATGGGGGAAAAAATAGAAAATAAATTTTTTTAAAACGTAAAAGAGAAAAAGTGTGAGCTTAGACCTCTGTGTTTGTCCAAGCAGGAGACAAACCAGGCTGCCACCAGCAGTTAGGAACAATTAGCTGGGGATGGAATCCCATTTCTTACTTCAGAAACTTAGTGATTGTCCGGGCGCAGTGGCTCACGGCTGTAATCCCAGCACTTCGGGAAGCCGAGGCAAGAGGACTGCCTGAGCCCAGGAGTTTGAGACCAGCGTGGGTAACATGGTGAAACCCCATCTCTACAAAAAATTAGCCGGGTATGGTGGCCCGTGCCTGTAATTCCAGCTACTTGGGAAGCTGAGATGGGAGGCTCCCTTGAACCCAAGGAAGTCGAGGCTACAGTGAGCCGTGATCACGCCACTGTACTCCAGTCTCAGTGACAGAGTGAGGACTGAGACCCTGTCTCAAAGAGGGAGAGAAAGAGAGAGAGAAAGAGAAAAGAAAGAAAGGGAAGAAAGGAAGAGGGAAGGGAAGGGAAGGGGAAGGAAGGGAAGGGAAGCAGAAGGAAGGGAGGAAGGGAGGAAGGAAGGGAGGAAGGGAGGAAGGAAGGACAGAGGGAAGGAAGGAAGGGAGGGAGAGAGGGAAGGAAGGAAGAAAGGGAAGGAGGAAGAGAGGGACAGAGGGAAAGAGAGGGAAGAAACTTTGAGATTATTAAATCACATTTTTTTTTCTTAAATCTCAGAGTGGGGATGTCTGGAGTTGGCCTCCACTCTGCTTACTAAGAGCTGTGTGTCTCTAGGTAAGTCACTTTCCCTCTCTGGGCTTCAGGTTTTTCACCTGATTGATGGGCTTAGTGTCTCCTCCCCTGATGATCCCCAGGGTTGCAGGCAGCCAATGAGGTTCTGCGTAGTGGAGGGGCACAGTCTCAGTAGTAGTGGCGGTGGCAGGGAGCTAGGATTGCAAACCCAGAGGCCTGCAGAGGCCAGGCAGGGACTGGGGTGAACTGGAAACACAAGCAGCCTACTTGGATCCAGCCAGGATGGCTACTGATAGAAGTGGGGGTCTTGGCCAGGCATGGTGGCTCAAGCCTGGAATCCCACCGCTTTGGGAGGCTGAGGTGGGCAGATCATGAGGTCAGGAGCCAATACGGTGAAAGCCCGTCTCTACTAAAATACAAAAATTAGCCGGGCATTGTGACCCGTACCTGTTGTCCCAGCTACGTGGAAGGCTGAGGCAAGAGAATCACCTGAACCCAGGAGGCGGAGGTTGCAGTGAGCTGAGATTGTACCACTGCACTCCAGCCTGAACAGGACAAAACTCTGTCTCAAAAAAAAAAAAAGCTTCCTTTACACGCCTGTAATCCCAGCACTTTGGGAAGCCAAGGTGGGTGGATCACAACGTCAGGAGTTCAAGACCAGTGTGGCCAAGAAGGTGAAACACTGTCTCTACTAAAAAATACAAAAAAAATTAGCCAGGTATGGTGGCACACACCTGTAATCCCAGCTACTCAGGAGGCTGAGGTAGAGAATCGCTTGAACCCGGGAGGTGGAGGTTGCAGTGAGCCGAGATTGCGCCACTGCACTCCAGCCTGGGGTATAGAGCAAGACTCAAGGAAGTGGGGATCTCATGTTGCCCACCTCATGTTTAAAAAGATCCTATAGATTATTTGATGTGAAATTTCCTGAAATGTAAATATTAGTAAATAAAGTATTTAAATGATACATATGCAAACACACACTTGCACATACACACACCTTACACATAATGGCTGGTCAGGTTTAGTGCATAGCCAGCAGCTGGTTTTCTGCTTTGGAATTATAGGCTGCTAATTCTTTTTTTCGAGACAGGGTCTTGCTTTGTCACCCATTCTGGAGTGCAGTGGTGTGAACACAGCTCACTGTAGCTGTGACCCCTGGGCCCAAGCGATCCTCC